TCAGTCACCAAAGAAAGCCCTCGATATTTCGAATTTCACACCATCAAATTTATCATTCTTGCTGATTTAAGCAGAACACAAAACAAATACGGATCCCAGGGCTTACTTTCACAGGTACCAGCATGGATAATTTACTACAGTGATCCAATTTGGAAATCAGTAGGGACCAGTAAATCGCTGCGTAAAGAAAGAGTGAATGAGGTCCTTTTTCCTTAGTGTCAGCAGGCTATGATTATTACGTTTATTAGATTTTCTTGAAAGGACTTCACATTTTCTCAAATATGCAGGAGAACTATATTTCCCCTTTGAGCCCTACACTAGCATTTATGTGTTTTGGTCTTGAATACAGGGAAGTGAATTTTTAAATTTATTTTATAAATTTATATAGTATTGGCCTGAAGAATGTAACTCCCCAATCTGTACCAGTATTAGATATTAAAAATGGATTCAGGAGAAGTTACTAAGAAATGCTGACATACTGTATATACAAATTTTTACTTCAATATATCCCATTATATAAAGCACCATAAGTAATGCATTTATAAATCAAGCCATTTTTTATGACCCTGTTTCTAACCTTTGTAACCCTTTTACATTTGCTCCAATATACACACATCATAAATGTTACTTGCTCAACATTTCACCTATTTGGTCTCAACTTAAAAATATATATGTAGGCAAAAATTAGTATCAAAAGGAACTGCACTATCTAAAAGTTACAAAAGAAAATAGCAAAAGTTTGGAATTAAACTGTCATGAACTGAGAAAAAAAGGTTATTTCCAAAGTGCTAAGCGTATCAAGTGAGTAGCTTCAAAAGGCTAAATAACATGAAATGACTCTTAGGCCATTCTTTCTCCTGGAATATGAGCTAATTTTTAGATTCCAGTGAAGATATCCATCTATAATTTTTTACTATTGTTTTCTAAGAAAGGAATCTGCTCTAGATTTTAAAATACTGTACTTTATTGAGTCACATCAACTCAAACAATGCAGGTCAGATTTCCTACATGCACAAGAGAAACGCTATAGAGTTAATTCATCATATAGGAGTATGTTCCTTCTAAAGAATCCATATGAACACTACCTTAGAACATAAATATTTCCTAGAATAGTTACCACCAGGAAACCTCCCAAACTTTTAGCAGCTCCTTTATCCTTAATAGCAGATCCAATCATAACTTTCTACCCTGAATATAAGACTTTTTCTTAAAACAATCTTTGGAAATAACTCCTAGATTTACACAGGTATGCCTTTGGTATACTAAATGTTGAGCTATAATATTATATAGGCTCTGTGGAATTTTCCTAATCCTAAAGAATTCCAATGAGTTGAAGAGAAACTAGTTGTCTCAGTTAGGCGTGGTGGCTCACACCTAAGCCCAGCATTTGGGAGGCCGAGGCAGGCAGATCACTTGAGGCTGAGAGTTCAAGACTAACCTGATCAACATGGTAAAACCCTGTCTCTACTAAAAATACAAAAATTAACTGGGCATGGTGGTGCATGCCTGTAGTCTTAGCTAGTAGGTAGGAAGGCTGAGACATGAGAATCCCTTGAGACCAGGAGGTGGAGGCTGCAGTAAGCCGAGACAGGACCACTGCACTCCAGCCTGGGCAAGAGAGCTGTCTTTAAGAGAGAGAGAGAGAGAGAGAGAGAAAGAGAAACTAGTTGTCTCTACAAGTCAAGTTTAATTTTCAAATCTAGGTACCATTCCTGATACAATTATCTACAAATTTCAATATGCTTTTATATTACTATGAAAAGTCTAAATTTCAAAAGAGGTTGAACTGGCTATATCTAGTTTACCTACAAAATGATAACGAAAACATTTTAAATACCACTTGCTACACATCTGAAAATGAAGGAGAACGGACAATTGTATATTAGTGTATTTCAGTGTTTTAGGCACTTAGAATGAAAATTAAAAACTGTATAGACCATTATTTGAATGAGGTCACTCCAAATTGTGGCCTATTTTGCTGTTTTCCTAGAAAGCACATATTGACAGGGTACTTCTTTTGAATAATTCAGTATTTTAAGAAGTAGGCCAGGCGTGGTGGCTCACCTGAGGTCAGGAGTTCAAAACCAGCCTGGCCAACATGGTAAAACCCCATCTCTACTAAAAGTAAAAAAAATAGCTGGGCATTGTGGCAGGTGCCTGTCATCTCAGCTACTTGGGAGGCTGAGGCAGGAGAATTGCTTGAACCTGGGAGGCAGAGGTTGTAGTGAGCTGAGATCACACAATTACACTCCAGCCTGGGCAACAAGAGTGAAACTGTCAAATGCTTATTTAATATTTTTTCAATCTCGAATGATCACATATTTAAAAGGGCCAAGGAATTCAGATACTTAGTTTTACAGCTGACTCAGCACTTTTGGTGGCATTTAACCTTCAAACACAACATGTGAAAATGGGGGGCTACCTGAGGAAACAGTGCCACCTACTGATAATAAACATAACTGTCCGTGGCTACTTGAAGTTTTCATTTCCAAGTATCAAAACCAGTCTAACTTGCATGACAGCTTTGAGACTCAGATTCTACAGAGATTGAAGAAGGAAGAGGTGGTGGTCAGAATAACTATGTTAATCAAACTAAACTCCTTAATATTAACATTAGTTAAAATTATTCACCTCAATCTCTCAAAATTAATTTATTCTGAACTAAAACTTAAAAAAAACCCTAAATCTCTCAGTTCTGTTTGTCTTATTACACATATACTCATTTTCTTTTCCAGAAAAAAATATTATTTGTGTCCTAAACTTGCAAACCTAACCCAAATTTTTGATCTGGACTTTTAGGAAGAAGGATGTATTGATAGCTTTCTAATTCTTACCTCTATAACAGAACCTATTAATTTTTCATTACTTTTAGTTCAGTATTATATTATAGCTGGCCTTGATTTTCTCTGTGAGGAACATTCCTAAATATGCAAATCAATTTTCTATAAAAAGTTTGCTTTCTTTCTTCCAGGAGCATTTACCTCTAAATTTTATTCCAAAAAAATTAAATACAACTTGCATTTAAGAAATTTCTCTTTAGGGTTAGGGTTGGGGGAAAAAAAGAGAAATTTCTCAACTGTTGTTAAGAGTTGAAATTAATAAGGTACCAACTATACAAAAGGATACAGAATCCTTGCTATAATAAAGTAGATTTTATATAAGGCTTCCACCTATCCAAAAGGGTTTAATATTTAAAAGTGCTAGAACAATGGTACTACACCACTTCCTGAAGATTAGACACTTTGGATGTTAAAGGCGCTTCTTTTAAACCTGAACTAACAATAAGTTCAACGATGCAGTAAAGAGTTGATTTCTCTTACTGCATTCATTCTATATATTGCTATTGTATTTCCTTAATTTTAACTTGATAGGTATACATGTAACACTATAAATTTCAAATTCCAAATCAGCTGGTTGTAGATATTCCTACTGTAGAATTTCTAATTATGAGTTCATGCAAACTAAGCATCTAGTAATGCTCAAATTGTAAAATTTACTTGTTCATGAGTTTAAGAGTACCTTTTTTGTATATTAAGCCTTCCTTTAAGAAACAAATCTATGTTTCAACTTGTCAAACATGAGTATATCAGAAATATAATTCTGCTATAATGACAAAAAAAACCTCAATTTATAGCACAGAGTGTTGTTTTATATTGTAGTAATTTTAATGTTAAAACCAACATGGATTATAGACCAATTATCTTGACCAACAGTATTTTTTAAAATAAAGAGGAAACAGTAAAAGCAGAGACATACTTAAAGATCTTTAGAAGACAATCATGGTTAAAAAAAAAAAAAAAAAAACATGGATCATGATATAAACAGAGCACACAAAAGAAAAATAATTAAAAAAAACCTGTTGAAATTCAAGTAAGTTTTATACATTAGCTAGCAGTATTGTTCCAGGGCTAATATCTTACTTTAGATAAATGTTCTACAGTTATGTAAAATGTTAACATGAGAGGAGCTGAGTAAAGGGTATGCAAAAGAACTCTGTTGGCCGGGCATGGTGGCTCAAGAGGTCAGGAGATTGAGACCATCCTGGCCAATGTGGTGAAACCCCATCTCTACTAAAAATATAAAAATTAGGTGGGCATAGTGGTGAGGGCCTGTAGTCCCAGCTACTCAGGAGGCTGAGGCAGGAGAATCGCTTGAATCCACCTCCCGAATCCAGGAGGTGGAGGCTGCAGTGAGCTGAGATCACGCCACTGCATTCCAGCCTAGGTGACAGAGTGAGACTCTCTCAAAAAAATGAAAAAAAAAAAAAAAAAAAAAAAAACCTCCCTTGTACATTTCCAACTCTTCTATAAATCTAAAAGATTTTTTTAAATTATAGGAAAAAACTTAATAGCTTCAACATAAACATGACTTCAGCTGCCAAAATTTCTTGATGTAATTCAAGACTTCATTTTTAAAAACTTAATTAGAAATCCATATCATGTTTACTTAATATTAGTCATTTTATTGCTTTAGAAAGTTTAGTTTCTAAAATCATTAGGTTACTTATATAGTGACAGTGAGATTAGCCACACACACAAAATCAACTGCATATTATGAGGCTGCTTCTCCAAGTTGGTGAACAAATATTACAAAAATACGAAAATAGCTGATTATATTTAAGCTATGAAGTATAATTTTTCATGTACTTTTCCTTAAGAATATCCCCTTTCTTTCTTTTTTTTTTTTTTTTTTTTTCCTAAGACAGGGTTTCACCATGTTGGCCAGGATGGTCTCGATCTCCTGACCTCATGATCCGCCCACCTAGGCCTCCCAAAGAAGTGCTGGGATTACAGGCGTGAGCCACCACGCCTGGCAGAATGTCCCCTTTCTATAGATTAGGAAGATGAACAAAAATAAAAATGCTACTGATAAATTACTAATGAATGTATCTGAGAAATCCAAATTACATGCAGACAGAAAACTGGTCACAAAAACCATTACATTACTCTATACCAAGACTGTACAATGTTTTAAACATTTCCAATCATGCAACGGTAGCAAAGATCAGTATGAATTTTATAAAAGAGTTGATGGGAGCTCAATGAATAGGATTTAACACATTTTACAACCCAAATCAAAGTTGCATAATACATCTAATTCCCCTAAATGTATCTATGCATTAAGAGATTAGAATGCACACCATTCCCCCACAACTCCTCCCCGTACCCCATTCCTAATCAATTACCTTACCTATGAAATCTTCCATTTAACCTTTTAAGTCAGATTTAATGGGTAAACATGAACTCTACAGGATACTCTCCATTAGTATTTCAGAACAGATACACATATAGTCAGATGCTGAATCTTCAGTTACATTCCTTTCGAAAGGCATCTAAACTGTTGCAATTGTCTATGAAAATTCAAGCCTAAGAAACCAAGAAAACCGGCAGTCAAGATTCTGAACTAGGTAGTTCTACAAACTATAAAACGAATAATATATATGTCCACATTAGTAAGGAAGGATTTCCTATTTGAGAAATGTTTCTCAATGGCTTTCTGAAAGGAAAGCTGTGTCACTGCTGCTTTCTGCTTTCAATGGCTAGGTGACCCCAAAAATTTATCCAACTGGCTAAGACACAGTTGAGCCTTTTAAAACATACTCAAGGCCACAGAAGTACTTATGGAAATAAAATTTTAGAAGGTCATAGTTTAAGATATAGAATTCTTCTTATAATGGTACATTCAAAACACATCTGTGCTAACAAAGCAGCATAAAACCAATTAAAAAACAATTAGAAATTAAATACACTGAGAAATACTAAAATCATTAACCAAAATTGCTGAATAGTAGAATACGGTCTCAAAATATACTGAATTCACATATGTGTTTCAACATAATGAACTCATGCCAGATAGAAACTCAGGTTACCAATTAGGTTGAAACAAATTTTAGAGCTATTTTTACAAGAGAAATAAATGTACTTCATAATATAGGCACAACAGCATCTTTTTAAAAAAAAAATTGGTACATTTAACACTAGATACAGACTTCTTTAACCATTAGCAACACAGCGCAGTAAAATTTTCTCAAAACTTCTTAAGCTTGATTTAACATGCCAAGAAAATGATTATTTTTCCACTGAGATGCATTTATGTAAATTATGTAAATTGGATTGAGGTCAGTGTAACACTTGGAATTTACAAACCCTAGCAGAAGTACCAGCTGCTAATAATGCTTATACTAAATTTATAGCTTAACTAGATGTTAAACTACGGAACTGTTGGTGCCAATCTGCTTATAAAGGCAATGCTCTGGAGACAAAGTCTTCTCACAAACAGTGGGCAAGCAGGTTTCATTATTATGTGTTCAACAACAATCCTCAGTTCATTAAATAAGGTCCTGCAAGATAAAATAGTTTTCTTTGAGAAATACAAGGAAAAAGCAATACACAGGCTTACCTCACTTTATTGCACTCCACAGATACTTCATTTTTTTACAAACTGAAGGTTTGTTGCAACACCAAAGACTATCAGTGTACAGCAAGACTATCAGTGCCACTTTCCAACAGCATGAGTTCACTTCATGTCTCTGTGTCACACTTTGCCAAAATTCACCCATTATTCCAAATGTTTTCATTATTACTATCTGTGATGGAGATCTGTGATCATGCTCTTTGGTGTTACTATTGCAATTGTTTTGGGGCACCACAAACCGTACCCATGTAAGACAAAGCACTTAATCAAGGTCATTCCCAGTTGGTCTCTTTCCCTCTCCTCAGACCTACCTATTCCCTGAGACACAATATTGAAAGTAGGCCAATTTAATAACCCTATAATGGCCTCTAAGTGCTCAAGTGAAAGGAGGGCTCCCATGGCTGTCACATTAGATCAAAACTAGAAATGATTAAGCTTAGTGAAAAAAGCATGTCTAAAGCCAAAACAGGCCAAAAGCTAGACCTCTTGTGCCAAACAGCCAAGCTGTGAATGCAAAGGAAAAGTTCCTGAAGGAAATTAAAAGTGCTATTTCTGCAAACAGATGAATGACAGGAAAGCAGAACAGCCTTACTGCTGATAGAAATGCTGTTGCGTGCTATAGTACAGCATAAACATAACTTTTTTATGTACTGCAAAACCAAAAAATTCTTCTGATGGCTTTATTGTGATATTCACTTTATTGTGGTGGTCTGGAACCACTCCTGTAATATTTCTGAAGTATGCCTCTAACGCTAAACAAATGCTGATGAAGTAATATACCACAGCCATTAGAGAATTTGAAATAAAATAACTAGAATGCACTGTAGAGAAAACACAAAATACACACAATGAAATTCTCAGACTGAACACCTATATCTTTTATGAGTGGAAATACTCATTTAACAAAGGTATTTAACAAATGGCTATCTCTGAAACCTCAGATTAGGGATAATTTATATACTTTCTTTAGAGTAGAGTCACATCATTTTCACATTTAACTTAGGCAATTTCAACAAATTTTTTAAAAAAGAGAACAAGAAAAAGTATATAACATGAGAAGTGTTATATATTTATTCACCCACTATTTGCTTAAATTACATATCGTCCCTCAGAGATTTCCCCCTCTATAAAATAACAGAGTTGTGGTGAAGTTTAAATGCGACATAGAAGATACTCAATGTTACTTCCCAGTTGGATCATGATACTGAACTATGACTTTTTTATGCCTTCAGATTTAAGCTCAAGTCCTCAACGTAACACCTAATACCCTCCACAATCTAGTCTCAATCCAATTTTCTGCCCTATCTCCTGCCACTCCCTGCCCTCACTACTATCATCATCAACTTACATTGCATGTTTGTGCCCAAAACTATGTGGACTTGGCTTTTGCCTTAACTGCTCACTACTTAAAAAGTATTATCACATAGTGTACACATCACATATATATTATACAAGCCAGTATATACAAAATCATGTATACTGTACTGACATTTATAAGTGATATGAAGGCTCATCAAGGGTTATTTTAACCATTCACAATTTTCACCTTATGTGCTGACTCATCCTGTGTAAAGATACAGCTCCTGTACTACCTTTCTGTTTTGTGTTTTATGATTAGAAAAAAAGCAACAAATCTACTTTTCTAAACAAATGTTTAATATGCTTGCACTGAAAGACAGGAATAATAATATTTGGAAGGATGCCTATTTTTCCACAACCTGCCCTTCCTGTATCTCCTGTCTTCATGAGAGCACCATTATAGCTCTCTTAGGATTCCAGGTCAGAAACCTGCAAGTCTTTAACTTACTCTTTTCTCCCAAGCCCTAATATCCTACGTCCTAATATCTTTCATATTTGTTCCCTTATTCTTTTACCAATGAATCAGTTCAGGCTCTAGGCTTCTAACACTCTCCAAATTGATCTTTTTCTTCTCTTGGTGAGCCAGCAATCCATTTTCTGGAATATTTCTAAATCAGATTTCATCATGGGGGTTTCCAATCCCTCAATGCTACAATCCTGAAAGGCTCTCCTTACCTCAAAACAAAATCCAATTCCTTCCATAATCTAGTCCTTTCTACCATCTAACTTTCTGGGCACAGATATTGATTAATTCTCTATATACTTCCTGAGCTCAAGTAACATTTACCTACAGGTATGCTAAGCACTTTCAGGCACCCATGTGTCAGAACTCAGGCTCATTCTTTAAAAGACTTGGCTTATGTTCCCACCTCCTCAATGAATTCTCATTTGTCTCTGTTCTGTATGCTTTCAAAGCACCTTCATCATCACACTGACTTACATCGCTGTCCAATCTATTCAGCAGTGAGTACCTCTGAAAGCAGATATTTTAATTCCACATAAGTTCATCAACATACAGTCACTGTTTTCTTAACCAATCAGCCAAATGAATAAAGCTAGAAGACATAAGGACTAATGAATCAATCACGTTCACTAAAGTTACATAGCTAGTTGTTTTATTATGGGCTGCATCACTGGCACAGACCAAGTCAGAGAGTTCCTTAATAGCACTGGCAACAGAACTTTGAGCAATGATAAAATTTTTGCATATCTGTGCTGACCCACACTTGCTACTAGCAACACATGGCTTTTGAGAACCTACCTAAACTGTGCTCAAAGGGAACTGAGTTTTAAGTTTTATGACTTTTATTTAAATGGTCACATGTTGTTGCTGTGCCATACTGGACAGCACAGCTATAGACAATCTATACTAGATATCCACAAAGAACTGAAACCACCAACTTGAGAATATCGTAGGTGAAAATGGCACAACTGTGAATACAGATGGTCTCAAAACCTTTAATTAAAAAAAGTGTGTATTGAAAACGTAGTTTTATAGCCTGTTTATCAATATTTATAAGTAGAAATATTTTCCATTATCTTTCCACTTGTTTGATTTAAAATGCGTGCTTAAAAGAGATCTTTGAAGATGTTTATTAACACATATTTGTGTTATCTTGATTCATTGCTATCCTTTCCTTTTCAGTCCACTGAAAACTAAGTTCTAGATGTACTAATATGATTTAAGGGTATGTAGAGAAAATGAGAATGGAGGAGGAGGCACAAAGAAGCACAGCAACAAATTTGCTGATTAAAATAATGGATGTCAGGGCAAGAGACTAGAAGATAATGTCTAAAATGAATATAGGGATGAGAAAGAAAAAAGGCTAAAACTCATGAAATCAAGTAAGAATAAATGTTAGGGGGAGGGACGGGGAGGTGGGGAGGTGGGAAGAGGTAGCATGGGGAGAAATGACAGATACAGGTGAGGGGAAGGAAGGCAGCAAACCACACTGCCATGTGTGTACCTATGCAACAATCTTGCATATTCTTCACATGTACCCCCAAACCTAAAATGCAATTAAAAAAATAATAAAATAAAATAATAAAAATAAATTAAAAAAAATAATGAAAACAGAAGTGCCTAAATGTAAATGACTCCCACTAGCATGGGTATATATATTCCTTTGGAATCTTAAGTCCTACACTTACTAGTATGCTAATGCACTGGTGGCAGAATAAACCTGTTTTGTCTTTAAAGAAAAAAAAAAAAGAATAAATGTTAGTTTGCTACTAGAGATTCATTAAGAATAAATGTCTAAAATAAGCTCTATTTTAGAAAGTATTATAAAAAAAGGCATTGCCTAAAAGAGCACAAAAAAACTCTGAAAGGAAAATGAGATCATAGAATAATAAACTAGTAAGAACCTAACAGAGTCTAAGTACTTCTAAAATATCACTTCCTTCACCCCCACAAGTCATTTCCTCTACCAATAAAGAAAGCCAAATTTAAATAACTTGCCTAGTCATGCAACTGGTTAATGTTGGGCCAGCATTCAAATTCAGTTCTTTTTACTGTATTTACAAAAATATAATATACAGATTGCTCTAATGTACTCACTGAATTTCTGGCTGAATTCTGTATTATTTTAAACTTGAAAATACGCTATATTACTATTAGTATATGAGTATCATTTTTAAAGTTATTAAAGACATCTATTCATTTTAGTTTTGCTCCAACGCTTAAGATCAGAGTGTATAATTTAGTGTATATTAATTTAAGCCCCCATTCCTGAAAACTATAGTAATTCCCTAAAATTTCTCTGCTTCCCCATTTTTGTTTCAAACTCTTCTGGCACAAGGCTATCTGAAGAATGTTCTCACCATGTCAAAACCATCATTCCCATTCACCTAAAAGATAATTCCAAACTTCTTACCCTAAAACTCAAGTAGTTTTATAACATAGCTCGGATACACCTTTCTAATCTTAGCGTCAGCAATTCACCATTGAGAATCTCCATTTGAGTCAAATTAGGTCTACATTAACATTCCTCAAATATAGCTTGTGCTCATCTCTCTTGCTTCTACTATTTACCCACCTAAAGTGTTTTTCCCTGTTGTCACTATTCAAAAGCTTTACTCTCTCTACAATCTCAATTTTGTGAAACCAACCTGGGCCCATCTGTCTTCTAGCCCAATGATCTCTCCCTTCTGAGGACAACAGTACTGATATGATAAAGCAAACCTATGGCATTACCGGCTTGTGAATACTGTATCCTAACCATTGTTTATCTAATTGACATGTGCTTTTGCTTCTTCAACTAAGAAAGTTGAGAGTGGAACCTATATCTTACACATTTTAAAATTTGCTAAGTTTTAGCAGTGTTTTAGCAGTGGTGTAGATAACTCCAGTCTCAGTTTCTAAAAAGAATACAGTCACTTCCTCACCAACCCTAGTACATTTTAAGGCCTAGAACTTAAATTTACAAAAACACTGCTTGCTTCTAAATTCTAACACATTAGCTAAACAACTCTTCAGAATTGTAAATACTATGTATTCACAATACTCTCAACAAATAAAACATGTTTAAAATAATCATCAGCTTACCGACAATATGGATTTCTTCGAGATGAATATCTAAGAGTAAGAAATCGATAATATATAAAAGGTTGGAGCAAACTTCCTTGACCACTGAAATAAACAAATACAAGAGTGATAAATATACAATATAAATTCACGTGTATACTCTCAAAACTTAAAGGCAATTCAACTAGAGAATATGTGTATCTTCATTTATCAAATGGTCATAGTGAAATCTATCATGTCTAAATCCAAGTTATCCTTAAAAAGAATATCATAGAATGTATATGATTAGTAAATAGTAAAATGCTATTGTTTAATTTTTATAAATGTATTCTTGTATATATTACTTTTGAAATTTTTAAAATACTAAATCAGAGAACCTTAAATACTTTGGTAATTACTAACTGATGAAATCAAGTTGTAAGGCTTCATAAAATAGGCAAAGTGACTTATTTTATATATAGTAAAAAAAAAAAAAAACACTTCCCCCGACCAAAAAAATTATACTGGGTCATCATTAGCAAATTTACATGGCCTTTACTAATTATTTTTCTTGGTTAAAAAACACAATTACAATATCCAAAGAATTATATTTATGTTTATGAAATTCCAAGTCTGGAATTCTTCCCTAAGAAAAACTATCTGAATTAAGACATTCACTAAAATAACTACAAATGAAATGTGGCAACAACCTAATATGAAAAGTACAGAAGTAGAATTAAATAACTTATATTATGGTTATTTAATGGATTCAATATGCAACTACCTAGAATCTTGGTTATGAAAATTACATAGCAACTTTGAAAAAAGCAGAATATGAAACTACATATATTATTACAACTGTATTTTTTAAAACTGGAAGAAATACATTAGGATGCCAAATGTGTTTTATTAGATTTTTAGCCTTTTCTTCTAAACTGTATTACTTTCATAACAAAAATAATGACACGATTGCAAACTTACCACTAAACAAATCCAACATGCATTTTACCCAATAATTTGATAAATTTTTAACTTTTTAAAGTCAAAATGTAAGAGACACAACACAGAAAACATAAATAGAAAATATTAACTTAAAAAACAAGTTTCCCATCATCCAAGTTAGCCCCTTCCTCACACTTACACCACAGTTTCAAATATGTCCCTTCAGAAATTTATATACACAAGTGTATACGACGACTAACACTAAGATAGTCCTCATTTTATAATTCACTAAATCTGTTTAACACCTCTAGGACAGAGATGGCTTATCATTCCCCCAAAAATGAGACAAACATGTATATGTCCTTACACACATAAACCCAACAAAATAAAAATGGAGAACATCCTACAAACTAACTTAAATCTCTTGATTATCCCATATCACAACACATAAATTATCTCAATCTTTTTACAGCTTCAAGTATTCCATCTAATGCTTGACAAGCTCCCTACTAATGAATATTTGGGTGGCTCCAGTCAACTAGAAATGAAGCTACAATGATCCTTTTATCTGTCTTTGCACACATGCGCAATGCATGTGTAAGATAAATTCACAGACTATGCATCCATTTTTAAAGACAGAGCTTGAAGCATTACTGGTACAAATAACTTGATAAAGCCTCATAATATTAGACCGTGTGTCTACCATGAAGGACAGCATATTAGGAATAGCAATAATGTAAGATTGTTCTAATTTTGTTGTTTAGCTTATATTCAAGCTACCTACCTAAAGCATTAGCAGCTTTTCCTAATAGGAATTAAGTACAACTTTATAAGTTGATTTTAATTTTTCCAACAAACAAAATGATTTCTCTATTTAAACATTTCTGGTAAATTCTTACCTTCTTTACAGTAATCTTAAAAAGTAAGATAAGTTTGTACAAATAACATTTAAATAAAACATTTCAGGAGCACAACTGAACATACCAACAAAGTCAAAATCTGCTGATCCTTAAAAAATTCATTATAGTTCCAAAGTGAAGTTTTTGTCTAAGTTTGCATGGTATCTCAGAATTTCATTAAAATTGTCTTACTATGATTTAAGAGGAGCATAAGAAATTATTTTGCTTACTAAACAGAATCTGGAGGTTTCAGAATACAGATATCAATTATACCCATACAAAAAAACTAGTTTTGGTATCTACCATTTGAACTTTCAAGTTACATGAAACAAATCATAGAACCTGGTCTGACCCAAAAGCAGGATTAAGTGACATACCCATACAAAAACCAGAAAAATGAATAAGAAAAATAAGAGAGCAAAAAGTTTCTTTTTACTAATTAATAATTAAAGTGTCTAAGTGTCTGAGAAGTGAAAAGAAAAACCTACAAATGATGGGAAAAATATTGGAATGTTGATCTTGTTCTATTTTCTGTTGTCTCAGATTACATTATCCTTGTCTTTTATGTGCTTTCAGCTTCTAGGATAAGAGAAGGCTTCTATTAAATTTTAGCATCAAGGTTTTAGAGTTAATTTACAAATACGACTGCATCAAATCCTATGTTCAGCATTTTTGGAATGTTGTAGATAGAGGACTTTTAGGCATCTACCTATTTCGAATAATACTAGTTGTTAAATGGTTTGAGGAGAAGGCTCAGAAGGCTAACAAAGATAAGGTCAAATCAACTAAACTCCAGGTTCATAAAGCCCAGTAGGAAGTGTTTCCATTGTATCACTCCAGAACTTTATTTAGATTACATTTTCTAGTTGGGACCACACAACTTAAGCAACACCTGCCAATCCTGGAGTTTCAGAGGAAAGCACTACTTAAAAGAATGAAACAGATCCACTGATAAGGATATCTAGAAAACTCTGTTCATAGTTTGAAGAGACTGCTAAAGAGAGAAGTAATTGTCAAGTACATGAAAACTTTACTAGTTAATCAAGGCAAGGTACAGTTAAAATTATAAAATATAACTATATAATAATGACAGTTTGTTACAAATTAACAAGATTATGAAAAACAAGTAACACAGACATTTTAAAGAACAATTTAGCATGGTCCATTAAACACAAAAGGCACCTAGCTTGTATTCAGCAAAATCAATTCTGGCATCTATGTTACAGAAAACACTGGCATTAAGTATAAACAGGTAAAAAATAGTTACTGCATCAATATTTGAAAAACTAAACATTTGGAAACAAATTTCCATGATCAGGATATAAGTTGGAATGCTATGTGGCTAAACCAAAAACAGAACTGGATATGCCAAATCAAATAGGTTATGGAAACATACAAGTGTGAAAAAGGTACAGAGTAACACCTTTGTTTGAGGCGGGGGGGGGGGGGTAGAGGGGGAAGTGGTGAGAGGGAGTCTCGCTCTGTTGCCCAGGCTAGAGTACAGTGGTGTGATACCAGCTCACTGCAACCTTTGCCTCCCAGATTCAAACAATTCTGCCTCAGCCTCCCGAGTAGCTGAAATTGTAGGTGTGCCCCACCATGCCCAGCTAATTTTTGTATTTTTGGTAGAGATGGGGTTTCACCACGTTGGCCAGGCTGGCCACAAACTCCTGGCCTCAAGTGATCCACCCACTTTGGCCTCCCAAAGTGCTAGGATTACAGGCATGAGATGAGCCACCATGCCCAACTAGAATAGTATCTTTGATGTAAAATAAGAACTAAACAAATTAACAAACAAAACTCTACACATCCACAATACATATGTTCTACAAATTTGTATGAGCATTTTTAAAGGACTACATACACAGATATTTATCAAACTCCTTATACCTCTGGGAAGAGGGCAAAATTGCAACTAGGATTCATATAGTCAAATACTACTTTAGCTTTTATCTGTAATGTCCTATTACTTGTAAAACTAAAAATTGATAAAAGCAATCATCTGGGTAGCAAGGTGTATTGTTTTAAAATGTAATACAAGAATTTCAGTGCAGAGGTCAATACTATTTTAACATTCATACTTTGAAAAGGAGGCTCTTTGGCCGGACACGGTGGCTCACGCCTGTAAATCCCAGAGGCTGAGGTGGGCGGATAGCCTGAGGTCAGGAGACCAGTCTGGCCAACACAGCAAAACCCAGTTTCTACTAAAAATACAAAAATTAGCCAAGTGTGGTGGCAAGTGACTGTAATCCCAGCTACTTGGGAGGCTGAGGCAGGAGAATTGCTTGAACCCAGGAGGTGGAGGTTGCAGTGAGCTGAGATGGTGCCATTGCACTCCAGCCTAGGCAACAGAGCGAGACTCTGACTCAAAAAAAAAAAAAGATACAAACAAAATAAGGTGATAGTAGGCAACTATTAATACAAGCCCGCAATTTTAAAGGTTTTTCTCTAGTGTAAGAAAAAATACATCTCAATAGTGGCAGAATAGACCAGATTAGACTTTGTAAGATTCTTTCAAAGGTAGTTAATTATCAAGGTAATTTTTAAAAGGTTAAATGATAAATCGCAAGGAATAAGACAAATTCCTAGGTCTACCATATTTCAGATTCTCTACTATAAACAAAAACGGTTAGATTAGGTGACTGCTAAGATTCAACTAGCTCCACATGTCAATACCTACCTTCAACAGATTTAAACAGAAGAAAAATTGAGTTACTATCTTTATTATGTTCACTCATCAGCCTTCCAAAACAAATATAATTTTGCCTTACCTAAAAAGCATAAAAACTGTTGCAGGCATCAAGAATATTTCATTGCAAGCAATGAATTTCAGAATATTTTGTTGATTAGCACTTAATTTGTCCAAGACAGATCTCAGCAGAGGTAAACTATTTGAACCCCTTGCCTAAAAAAAAAAGAAAGCCAACATTAGAAATAAGTGAAGCACTTCTAATAACAATATTTTCTTTCTTTAGGTAAATAGCCTATCCGACAGGCAATACAACCAAATATACTACTTTAGAAATGATGGTACAAAGTTCACAAACCATTTAAGGGTAAACGCAGTATATTTTCCTGCTTTTTTTGTATTTTTAGACTTTAAAAAACAACTTTAGTAAAAGTACTTTTCATTCTTAGCTGCTTTTTCTCAAGAACGATTATTGAACAAAAAATGGTTATTTCTCTCCAACCACAACAAAATCTGACTATCCAGTAATAAAGTTAAAATATCTTTGACTCCTTCCTTAGCTAGTGTTAGAAATTAGAGTGTAATTAGTGCTGTGACCAAAGAATTACAGGGATAAAGAAAAAGGCCAATACAAAGCATAAATCTGGATTTTTTAATTCCAATATCAGTATATATGCTGTAAATGGCCTGACGCCAAGCTAGGCTTAATGTTCCAACCTAGCATAAGAATTTCAGGAAAGCAGTTCTGAAAATAAGTGTAAAAGAGATTTATTCAGTATATGCAACTTCTCTGGTATGCCAGAATTAAACACTGACAGAACAAGAGATCTGACAACTCAACACTTTTAGCGACACAAATTTCAAAAAAATAGACCTATTTCAAACTTGAAAAATTCTCCTGGAGACCGGGGGTAATTTTAAGTGCAATCCTTTATCTACAAAATGTACTAGTTTGTGAAACTTCAACAATTAACACTTCTGAACTTAAAATTTTCAAATCAGTATATAATTTATAACAAGTTTGTAAGGTACAGAGGGACTTTTTGTGACAAATGCCAAATGTCTTAGAACTCGAACTCATGTCAGTGATCCGAAATTCAGAAGTTAGAGAAATGGCAGTTTTACTTACATCAAGGACCTTTCTCGTGTATGTGGCGGCATGAAGCAATGAGAATAACAAGACTGGGAAAATACTCACTGAAGAAAACAATTAAGGAAAACATTTAAAAAGTCAACAAGCATTTTGCAAAACAGACTACATATTATGTCCAAATATACAGATCTGAAACATCTGCTAAAATGAGTTCAGTAGAATGCCTTGTTTTACTGATACACTTTAAGCCAAATCAAATTTTGTCAACTGTAAAGAAGAAAGTAAACTATTTCATTTCTAAAATTCAGTTCTTTTTATGACAAAAATTAATAGTGAAAAATTTTTTTTTCATTCATTTCTACTGAGTAACATCATAAACACTTGCTAAATTAAACTGAAATCTAGGCCATCCCAAAAGGTTATAAGTATAGCTTTTAACCCTCCAACGGCTATATTGGTCACTTTAACTTAGCCTTCAAACAGTAATTTTATAGTGCATTCACAATCTCAAATGCTGAGGAAAGAGTCTAAGGTAATGGTTTGAAGAGTAATTCCCCAGGTTTTAGTCCCAAAGACAAGATCTTTTATTACTTCTTTCCTACAAAGACTCCATTATTTTGAGATACTATACCTAAACAAGTTGTTACATTTATGCTCTCAACTTGTAAAAATTAAAATGGCAGTATATATTTTGTTTTGTATACAGTCAATTAAAACTCTCATCAGCTCAATTACAGACATAAGGAGAGAATCCTTTTGAGTCCAACTGTTTGGCTTTATGTTATGAATAAACACACACTTTTAATTCAACTTTTTGAAAAATGCAAAGTGTTCAAAAGACCCCATTCTCCACTCCAATTTCTGCCAGGTTGATTAAAAAAAAAAAAATTGTCAAGTAGTTACACAAAATGATATAGACTCTTAGTCAATCATGAATGGCAAAAATGCTTGTCCTAAAAATATTAGCAGTTCCTAAGAATTAAACCATGTTATTTTTCTATACTTACTGAAGGCCTGATATTACAGGAAATGGTGATTGCTGTAACATAATCTGAGTAGCAAATTCATTACAACCATAACTCATTTAGGAATCCAAGGGTCCCAGTTTCCAATTGGCAAGCAAGACACCAACCTATATCCAAGTATTAGAGGAACCTTAACTCTCTAACATAGTTCTCCAAATATCCCGATCAACTTTTTCCCACCTCTAAGAAGAATTAAGAAAAATGACCATTTCCTAAGTAGAGATCATACATGTATACAGTATAGTTTAAATTTTTTAATGAATCATAGACTACTTTGAAACTGATGGAAGCTACAATCCTCTTAGTCACTATAAAACTCTGTTGATGCTTAAATAAGTTAATTTAAACTCTGACACATAACCAGACTGAATTCAATAAAAGAGGCAGTGTCAAGTAGTAAAAATAGAGCCCTGAATTGGAAGTCAAGATAGCCGGGTTCCACTCCTGGCTCTGTCACTAACCTAATTTTCTTAGGCCAAGTTTCACACTCCAGCAAATGAGTATGTAAATCAAAGCTAGAAATTTTTAAGGAGTCTTATCTCTAACATTTACAAATCCTCAGCAAGAGATTCACAATCTTAGCTTCCAACATTACCTTCTTCTTTTTTTTGGAGACGGAGTTTCGCTGTTGTTACCCAGGCTGGAGTGCAATGGCGCAATCTTGGCTCACCACAACCTCCGCCTCTTGGGTTCAAGCAGTTCTCCTGCCTCAGCCTCCCAAGTAGCTGGGACTATAGGTGTGCGCCACCATGCCCAGTTAATTTTTGTAGAGATGGGGTTTCACCACGTTGACCAAGATGGTCTCAATCTCTTGACCTTGTGATCCACCTGCCTCAGCCTCCCCAAAGTGCCGGGACTATAGGCGTGAGCCACCGTGCCCGGCCCCAACACTACTTTTAAACTATTAATACAAGGTATTTAGAAAAGATAAGAGGTGAAAAGCTGTGTAAGTACCTGTTATTAACCAAACAAGTACAAAATACCACCTGTATAAGAAAAAAGATCAGAATGCAATTCTGTAATATTACTTTGGACCCACTTTTATTACTGTATCACCTTAATAATCAGATTAGCATTTCCTGAAAATTACTAGTTTATGTTATTCCCACTGTTTACTACATTCCCTTTCTAAGAATTTAAGGAATATGAAATCCTTAACATTCAACATTCCCAGGAAAGAGGGGCAACCAAATAACCAATTGTATAAAAAGGCAGAAAGATTGTCTTCACCAGTCATAAGTCTCAATTGGCAAGACCTCAGGATTCACTCAAGAAAACTTACTGAGCACCTGATTCGTGTGAGCCACTGTTCCCAAAGTTACCGACATACTGAGTTTACTCTACATTAAAACACATTTCTGTCATTTCTATTTCTTCCTCCAAAGAAATTTTAAGCTACTAAAAGGTATGACCAAAAATCTCTATATAACTCCTCATTATAGCTCAGAAAGGCTAGAATTTTAACACTGGTGACTGCAAAATACTTCAATCAACAGATGCTGGTCAAGCCAGTAATATGCCAAACAAATGTGATTATCATTTACAGCTGTAGTAATTATTTAATGAGTTTTACCTAAAAATGAACAAATACAAGTTATGATGGGACATTACAGACCCACATATTTAAACAGGAAAAGTTTTATCCTTACATTTCAAACTACCCATATTATGTTGATGAAACAAGTAATTTAAAGGGAACCTCCATATACTGAACATTTATGTGAAGTTACCAGCTTTACTCACATGCAGAAAGAAATTTTTTTTTTTTTTGGGACGGAGTTTCGCTCTTGTTACCCAGGCTGGAGTGCAATGGCACGATCTCGGCTCACCACAACCTCCGCCTCCTGGGTTCAGGCAATTCTCCTGCCTCAGCCTCCTCAGTAGCTGGGATCACAGGCACGCGCCACCATGCCCAGCTAATTTTTTTGTATTTTTAGGAGAGACGCGGTTTCACCATGTTGACCAGGATGGTCTCGATCTCTTGACCTCGTGATCCACCCGCCTCGGCCTCCCAAAGTGCTGGGATTACAGGCTTGAGCCACTGCACCCGGCCATTAAGAAATATTTTTAGGCCGGGCGTGGTGGCTCACGCCTGTAATCCCAGCACTTTGGGAGGCAGAGGCGGGTGGATCACGAGGTCAAGAGATCGAGACCATCCTGGTCAACATGGTGAAACCCCGTCTCTACTAAAAATACAAAAAATTAGCTGGGCATGGTGGCGCGTGCCTGTGATCCCAGCTACTCAGGAGGCTGAGGCAGAATTGCCTGAACCCAGGCGTTGGAGGTTGGGGTGAGCCGAGATCGCGCCATTGCACTCCAGCCTGGGTAACAAGAGCGAAACTCCGTCTTGAAAAAAAAAAAAAAAAAGAAATATTTTTAAAGTACACTTAAGTGTTACTCACCCACTAACTATAGATTAGCTAGGGCTTTTAAGTTATAAAGACCTTGTCGGCATTATTACTTACTAGCCAATGTGTAGGAAGTGGAAACTGAGACTCAGCAAATCAGCATCTTTATTAAAAATATACCATAAGGATTTTTTTCAGAGTGCTACAAAGATTAAATGTCAAGATGTCATATTGGCAAAATAGGTGCTCAGGACATTTCGGTTTCCTGCTATTTCTTTTCCTTAAGATCTACAAAAATCTATTTAAAAATCTGATACTCCATAAATAGATAATACTGAATCTCAGAGGAATATTTTATTGTGATTTGTGTAACATACAGATGTATCATAAATATTCCAAAGTGCTTAGAGCAGCACTTCTCCACTCACAAAATGATTTGCAGAGAGATAACCTACAGGAAAAAAACAATCAAAAAAGTTAAGTTTAAAAAACACTAGGAATTCTTTTAGTCTTACAATACACGTAAAGACCTCTATAGTAAAGAACCCTATTTAACCTAGCGTTTAACCTAGCGTTTTCCAAATACACTGTAGAACTTCTCATTTTCCCCTCCTTTATGCAATACTCAGTATCATCCCACAACACACCTTTGAAATGTGAAAACATACAAATTCCAAATGAGTCCTCATTAGCTCCAGGGATCATGCATGTCCTTGTTTTCTACTCTATACAGCAAATATTAATTTATTTGTATTGATTATCTCATCCCCTGCTTAAATACCTCATTCCCTACTTATTTCTTGGCTACATTCCATTTGTGTATAGTTTACTGGGGGTTAAGACTGGAAAAAGCTTAGGATCTCTCTTTTTTAAAGCAAGACATCTGTATACTTTGCCAAAAACGTGAATTAAATTTTAAAAAATTAATATATTAAAGTAAGTTCTGCATAAGTTTGTACTTTGAAGCAGAATTCAAAAATATCCATTCTAATAGAGAAGCTTTCAAGAGGCAAGAACAAAAATAGTTTAAGGTTCCTAAATTAGCTCTTCATAGTTTAGACTTAAATTTTAAAGTCAGAAATTCTTACACTAAACATATCTTCATTCAAATGAAGTGTCAAGAACAAACCCAGGCTTCATGGAATGCCTTCATTGCTGAAATAATCCAAAGAGATCTCCTATATGCTCAGTTGGCAATTTCATTGTTAAAAAAGTAGAAAAGGATACTTGTAACTGGGTAGGAATTTACAAAGATGAGTGAATACAACAGGTAGTGGCAGCTGTCCTCTAACAAAGCCTGGGCCAGGAATGCTCTGCTTAACTGGAAGTGTGGTAATCTTTGATGCAGCCTCAGAGCACTGGTAAGAGCATTTGCCAGCAAAGCACGTTGGTAAAAGCTTGCTGCTTCATGCAACCTGCAAATTACCAGAAGACAGGTTATCATGAGACATAAACAACTCCAGTGTCTCTTCCTCCTTTGTGAATTGCATCATAATTGCACAACACCTAAATCACTTAATTGTCAATAGAAAAAAATTACTTGAACTTAGTCTACCTTTTTAATAGCATCACTTCGTATATATGCCCAACTAAATTTTTCATATTCAATTTATAAAATTGAATTTTATAAAGCAGTGACTCTTCCTATCAAGTAGTAAGTAAAAATAAAACATGAACTTATCTCATTCACACGCATGAACTTTTCCTTGGATTTTCAATGTGTTCGTTCTACAAAGCACAAGATAGAAAATATTCCTCTAGCTGATAATGTTATTAGGTCATTAGCACCTTAAGGCTGGAACTTGCATTTTATTTGTGCCTAAACCCTTTACAGTTTAACAAGTCTTACAACTAAAAAGCATTCCATATAAACTGACTCAACAATTGAATATTGAAGGCAGCAATATGTATAATACATACCCAAGAAGAGGCAGAACAAACAAAGCAGAGCAGTAAACTGTGAACAAGCGAGAAAGCCACATTGCCGTGTCCAGTTTATTGGTCATCATGAATTGCTAAATTTAAGAAGAAAAATACTGTAAGCTATGCCTGCAATTATGTTTAAGCATCAACACTGTATGATTTTTATGTCTACTTAAAATGTTTTAATTTTGTTCCATTTGTTTTTTAGATCATTAGGTGAACACTCTAAGGCAATGAAATGTTTCATGTATATGCTGAATGGCAAGTCCAAACACCTTATAGTTTTCATACGGAAAGCACAAGTACTTAAACAGATACAAATGAAAAAATATCAGCTGACTTTTTTTTTTTTAAATGCAAAGACTAATTAATTAGAAAAAATAATCTTAACAGAAATTCAACTACAATCGTCTTGCTCCTTTAACACGTGTAATATTGGCTTTACCTATTTTAAAAGAACATTAAATAAAAACTAATTGCTCTCAAGAGCTCCATATGCCTATTCCTAGCAAAAAAAAAAAAAAAAAAAAATCTCAAACTCAAATAGGTAGGTCTCAGAGCTGAGAGTAAGACATCACATAAAGCCAGTTTGGATGAAATTAAACCTTTTGAAGAAATATAAAACCATGACAGTACTAACTAGTGAACTCATTACCCTTGTAATCTGGCTACATGTGCAAGGGCCTGGCATACTGTAGGTACTCAAAATACAGGTGAAAGGTATTAAATGGCCACCTGCCTCTCTGATTACACCACTCTCTTTATCATCTCCATGCTCCCCACAAGTCTTATCTTAGGTTCAGTGGTCCTAGATTAAACTTCCATACACCATTTTCTTCTCCATTTTTTCCCATTCTGTCTTTTCCTTTGCTGCTTTTCCCCCAATACCTATGTCTATTACCACTAAAGCAGAATCTTAAAATTTGTTTTCTCATTAAAATGTATCTTATATTCAAATTCTAAAGTGGCTTTTACATTTTTTCTCTAGGATCTTCCTAATTTTAACATCGAGATCCACATACATGGATATATGAAGTAAACACAAGTTTCACAAACAGTATTTACCCTACTCTGGGTAATAAATTTTGACATTTGCTATTTAATTTTTTTAAAATAGCTGGTGTTTTCACTAATTAAACTGACTTCTCAACTCACTAATATGTCTACCTGAAGTCTAAAAACACTGCTCTATGTAATTTCATTATCTTTTGAAAAAATAAAAAAATTTTTTGGGGAAAAATGCAAGTACATTTTAAAATTCAAGGCTGTTCTATTGTATGTCTTTTTAACCCACATATAGGTAATTTCAGAAATATGAAATACAACTCTGGTTTATTATTAAATCCATACTTACCATACTGTGACTCCAGTAAATTGAGATGATTAGCAGTAATCAAGTGAAGGATGAATCTAGCTTACTGTGCTCAGTTCCTCAACAAATATTACAACTGTGCACCATAGTTTGAAAGTTAGTTTTAGAACATTCTCCTCAAAATCTATTTGTTCAGGGTGTTTATTCTGCAATAAATCATTAAGCTATGGATTTTGTTCTGTACACATTTATGTATCTTTTATTATACAATTTTAAAACCTTAAGAAAGTGTATTGGTATACATTTTTTTAAGAGTAAACTCTCCAACCGTCATACTAATAAATTGTTCAGGCAAAACGAAAAAAAAAATCACTAGATCTTTGATTGAAAAACTGAGGAGCAACAGTCACAGTCTCACAGTATCATGCCAAAGAACATTTCATAATTAGAAAGGAAAAAAGGTATCTTTACAATGGAGAAGCTGGTGGACACCACCTTAATCAAATAATCAAACAAATTCTGCAGTGATGGGATAAATCAACGTAAAATGCTTCCTACATATCATATATACATATAAATGCTGCAAAACACGTCTAGACTCTTGAAAACTATCAGTATCTTTGAAGACAAGAAGGGGAGGAGGCCGGGTGCAGTGGCTCATGCCTGTATTTTAGCACTTTGGGAGGAGGAGGAGGGTGGATCACGAGGTTAGAAGTTCAAGACCAACCTGGCCAAGATGGTGAAACTCCGTCTCTGCTAAAAACACAAAAAATTAGCTGGGTGTGGTGGTAGGCGCCTGTAATCCCAGCTACTTGGGAGGCTGAGGCAGAGAATTGCTTGAACCCAGGAGATGGAGGTTGCAGTGGGCCAACATCGCATCACTGCACTGCAGCTTGAGTGACAGCGCAAGAGTCCATCTCAAAAAAAAGGGAGGGGAGGGGGGTAGAGGAGGAGAGGGCAGCAGAACTGTTCTAGATTAAAAGAGAGTAAAGAAGATACGGCCAGTAAATTGAATGCATGCTTTTTGAGATACAGACTCACTCTGTCACCGCAGGCTGGAGCGCAGTAGCATAACCCGCCTCAGCTTCCTGAGTAGCTGAGACTTAAGGGACGCACCCCTACAACGGGCTAATTTATTCTTTTGTTTGTTTTGAGGCAAGGTTTTTCTCTATCGCCCAGGTTGGAGTGCAATGGCGCGATCTTGGCTCCCTGCAACTTCAACTTCTCAGGTGCAAGCGATCCGCCCGCCTCAGCCTTCCAAAGTGCTAGGATTACAGGCGTGAGCCACCATACCCCACCTAATTTTTTTTAAATTTCTAGTAGAGATGAGGTCTCGCTATGTTTCCCAGGCTGGTCTCGAACTTCTGAACTCAAGCAATCCTCCCGCCTTGGCCTCCCAAAGTTCTGGGTTTACAGGAGTGAGCAACGGTGCCCGGCCATCGATGCATACTTCTTGACTGAATTCCGATGAAGAGAAAGCAGTTTTAAAGACCAAGTACGGAAAGTTGAACATGGATTTTATATTACCTAATATTTCCCGAATGTGGTAACTGCACTGCGGTCACACAGAAGAATACTTAACTACTTATGGATTAAAAAGTGTAGGACAATAATGCTCCGGGCACAAATCACTTGTTAGCTCCAGATCAGCATCTTTAAAAATTTACAAAAGCATAATGATATTCTCTTCATAAAGAACAAAGTGAAGAAGAAAAAGACCACGGCTCTCCTTCCTTTGCTTAATTTCTATATACAGTGATATAAACTAGGCAGAAATGTTCTTTGCCAGCATCCGTGTGCTCCACGTGGTGTGTCATGAATCGTGTGTCATGGCACAACCTCATGTGGCATCTTTAACCTTGGGGCCTACGATAACCAAGAGACCGAGGTGTGAGAAGAGGAAAGGCCCAATTTCCATGGCATACAGGTGAGGGTCACCAGCACCAGGCCAGCCTGTTGTCGCTTCGGAAACAAACTTGAAGCTCCCTCCGTATCTGCGCTCAGGACCTCCTCCGTCCCTTTCTAACTCTCCTACCCCAACTCATTAATCCCAGTCCTGAAAGCACTGTTTCTAGAGCGTCTCGGGACTCCAAACACTTCCTGCTTCTTCCTAACTCCTGAAAATCAAGCCAAACTACCCAGCCCTCGCACTTACCACAGCGCCCGCCCCTTGCGGGCCGTTCGGGGTCGTATCTGCCATTGGGGCTCACACGAGCGTCGGCGACGGTGCAACCGCGAAGAGAGAAGAAAGAGGGGACAAAACGTCAGCGTCGGGGCCGCTGGATTCCCTGCCTAGCGCCACACACAGGCCGGATGCACCCTGCCGGAACTCTGAGTCTTCACCAGGAAAGGGTCTTGCCCGCCCAGTGCAGCAAACTAGACGGAGGGTACCCGCAGCAGCCTGGAAGTACTTGTCCAGCAGTGCCGAGATCAAAACGGTGTTTCCAGAAAGACCGGAGCGAAGGCGGAGCTTCGGAGCGAACCCCTGAAGGGCTAACCTATACCGCCGGCTCCAGCTTACTGCCGAACCCGGAAGTACTCCTTTCATTTCCGTGGGGAAGAGGCAGTGACGAAAGGAGGGGGGGGAAAATGGGAGCAGAGCTCAGAGGCATGACGGGAAGTGTAGTTTTTTCCTTCTAATTTGCGCTCCTCCTGTCCTATCCGCCAATTGGCCTAGTGAGCTAAGAAATTAGGATGGGGAGCAAGTTTTGCGTCACATACAGCTCACAAATGATCCTCCCTGCCCATTGTCAAACCATGAAATTTCTGCACTCCCTAATATAGAGGCGTCAGAAATATCTTTGACCCCTTTCTCCAGGGGCTCACTAAGTCCTGTGGTTCTACTTCTATTATTAATTCTTTCAACAAGTATTTATAAGGTCTGCTTTGTGACAGGCTCCATACTTGGCATTGCGGATATGACAAGATTGCAAGAGAGGAATATGACACAGATTGCAAAAGAGACAGACAAGTAAACTGAAATCAGAGCATAGTGCTTGTGTAACATGTGCAGAGGCTGATTTAATCACAGGGAGCACAGAGGAGGGTACCTAAATCAGAAGGGGTCTGGGGAGATTTCCTGGAAAAGGCAATGCTGGCCCTAGATCTTGAAGGACAAAAGTTGGCTGAAAATGGTACCGGTGGAGGGTGTCCAGGTTCTTGGCGTGTTAAACATAGAATTAGACAAAATGCACCAAAAAAGCTAGGAAAGAATAAAGCAACAAAAGCAGAGATTTATTGAAAATGAAAGTACACTCCAGAGTGTGGGAGCGAGCAAAACAGCAGCTCAAGAGCCCTGGATATAGAGTCTTCTCACATCCAGATACCTGCTAGAGGTTTCCACTGGACACTTGGTGTTCACTTCATGTAAATTAAATGGTGGCCAGCAGTCAAAAACTGAAGTGAAGTTACAAAGTTACACTCCTATGCAAACGTCTGAATGATTACTAAAAGCAACCAATCAGAGGTACTTTCAGTTTCCCATCTGCCACACAGAAGAGGTCAGGGTTTGAAAAGGGAGTAGTCTCTGGTCCTTTTGTTACTTAGGCCTGAAAAGTTAGGGTTTTCTCTTCAATTTAGTTCTAGAAACTCAGTGAGAAATAGCATTAGGTTCCCTACCTCCTATACCCTATTCTACTGCCTCAAAAGGAGAAGGGGACTCCAGACAGTAACAGAAAGAGCAAGAAGTAGCACTACAGCCAGAGGACTAGTTCAGTGTGACCAGAATGACGGTACCAGTCAGAAGGTTGTGAAAGATTTCGGCTACAGAGGCAGGCAGGGGAGTACTGAGGAAAGGATCTGAACTTGACCCTTAAATCCAGAGAATCATGGTACAATTTTAATCAGAAGTGTGACATCATGAGATTTAGAAAGATATCTCTGGCAACAGGGTGAAGAATGACTAAGGGGGCAAATTAAAAGTCAGGAAATTAGTTGTGAAGCCATTGTTTATTATAAAGCAAAAATAAAATCCTAAGTCAGGGATCTGTCTACTTACTGGACAGATCCCTCTCTTGACCAAGGGGATCCCAGCCATGATGGGACAGGAGATCAGACATGCCTCATTTTATTCCCTCCCTTTTGTAGTTTAGGCACAACTAACTAGCAACTACTTAGGCATGGAAAGTTAGGGTTTTCCTTTCAATTTAGTTCTAGGAAGTCAGCCTATGTTTAACATGTTAATGTTACAATAAAGATCATAACATTGACAGAACAAATTCTTTGTGGGAATAGGATACCAAATTATAAACAGAACCTAAGGCCATGCCAGGCAAGGGTTAAGTCATGCACCCCCTACACTTAAAAAATAAACTATGTTCTACCACAAGAATTTTCTTTTTCTCTAGCAGCTAAACAAAACACTGGCCTAGAGAGAAGCAATATTGAAACAATTACAACTGATCCAGCTCACAGACACTAACTGAATCCCTGCTACGCCAACCATAGTTACATCTTTGATTGCACAAGAGATTTCAGTAACTTTCTCCAGATAAGACCACTGACCATGGACTGGTTCTGGCCACTTTACAGAGGCCCATGCACTTGTGTGCCTTCATCTCTGCTTCACATTTTAAGGTATAGGGCCTAACTGGAATACATTAAATGTTAAGTCTCTGCCTCAAGGTGAAAGAGGTTGTATGTAACATGCATGTTGTTCAATACACGTGTCAGGACTACCTTCACGAATACTCATAGTTCCTCCTGTAACCTGTTGAATATGCGTGTTTAGCCAGCCTATTCAGTATAAAGGTCCTACCCCAACCCTGCCTCCTTTGAAGTGCCTGTCTCTGGTCCTTGCTGGAGGCTCCCTGCCTGTGAGATGGCCACCTTGAAGGCTGTATCTCCTTATAAGAAATAAAGTCTCCTTTTCTAAATGTATAGCTCCTGTGAGTTTTAAGTTAACACATACATGTAGGAAAGAAGTGATGAGATTCTGGACTGAGGCAGTGTTGTGGGGGAAGAGAAGAGGAACGATAACTTGTAGGTGGCTTCTAAGATGTGGTGACTAACTAGGTATAGGTGGGTAGAAAAGGGAATGTCATCTTCTGAGACCTGGAGAAGAGTGTAGAAAACAATGTATTAGAAGAGCAGTAGATTGAGAATCAAATAGGAAGGGGCTAAGAAGAGGGAGCTGACTGGAGACCTACTGGAAAGCTGGTACCCTGTTGGAAAACTGTGATGCTCCTCCTCTGTGAGATGTGTGTCTATCCTCCAGTATCCATGGGCAGACCAGGTGCTAGTCAGCTGCAGCCTAGAAATCAAAGGGGGTTCTCTTGAAACAGTACAAATCTCATTTTCTAAGGCCACCGCCCAAGTGCAGATCCTTCAGATCTCTAGCCTGGATTACTCATCCTCCTAGCGAAGCTAAAATGTCACCTCCTCTGCACTCTTCCCATATAATTTACTACACACACACACACACACACACACACAAACACAAACACACACACTCATATATATTTGAGACGGAGTCTCGGTCTGTTGCCAGGCTGCAGTGTAGTGGCATGATCTTTGCTCACTGCAACCTCCACCTCCCAGGTTCAAGAGATTCTCCTGCCTCAGCCTCCCAAGTAGCTGGGACTACAGGCACGCACCACCACGTCCAGCTAATTTTTGTATTTTTAGTAGAGACAAGGTTTCAGCATGTTGGCCAGGAGGGTCTCAATCTCTTGACCTCATGATCCACCTGCCTTGGCCTCCCAAAGTCCTGGGATTACAGGCGTGAGCCACCGCGCCCGGCCTACTCCATATTTTTATAGCATTTCTCACTTTCTAACATTCCTTAGAATTTTATATCTACTTGCCAGTGTGTGTGTTTGTGTGTGTCTGTCTTAGTCAACTCAGTCTACCATAACAAAATACCATAAAGTGGGTAGCATAAGCAACACAAATTTGTTTTCTCACAGTTCTAGAGGCTGGGAGGTTTAAGATTAAGGTGCCAGCAAGGTAAGATTCATTTTAGCTGCAGGCAGCTGCCATTTTATGTGTGCTCAGCTTAGGACCGGGTAAAGCATCTCTCTCTTCCTCTCTTCCTCTTCTTGTAAGGTCACCAGTTCCATGGATTAGGACCTCATCCTTATAACTTCAGTTAGCCTTAATTACTTCCTAAAGATCCTATCTCCAACTATATACAGTGAACGACCTCTCTCTTCCTCTCTTTCTCTTCTTGTAAGGTCACCAGTTCTATTGGATTAGGACCTCATCCTTATAACTTCTGTTAGCCTTTATTACTTCCTAAAGATCCTATCTCCAAATATATACAGTCACATGAGAATTAGGGCCTTGAAATACGAATTTTTGGGGATACAATTCAGTCCATAGGTATATATAATATATGCATGTATGTATATATGTGAGTACATACTTTTAAAAAATGATTTAAAGGATCCTCTTACTATAAAAATATTAAAATATCAAATGTTTTCTATTGTAAATTCCATATAGCTAATTACTCTCACAGATACTTTTTTTATTTTTGCTGAACTCTTATATCCATAGCAATGTACAGATGCCCTTGATGAACAAGTAAGTGTACTTCCATGAATGTTGCTTGATATTTTTATTAGAGTAAAAATGAAAGCGAAACAATTAAGACATATGTCTTTACCTTTGCATATTAAAATAATTGCAAGTTTACACCCCTATGTAGTTATATTTAGTGGATAAAAATAGCCCTTATCCCTGCCAAAATTTGTTTTTAGTCTTACTAATATTAGGTATATAAAATGATATGTCATTATTTATTCAATTTGCATTTTCCTGAGTAGCAGTGAGGCTGAGTATCTTTTTACAACTTTATTGGACATTCAGATTTTTCTCTCCTGTTTTTTTTTTTTTTTTTTAGACAGAGTCTTGCACTGTCACCCAAGCTAGAGTACAATGGCGCGATCTCGGCTCACTGCAACCTCCACCTCCCAGGTGCAAGCAATTCTCCTACCTCAGCCTCCTGAGTAGCTGGGATTACAGATGCCTGCCACCATGCCCAGCTAATTTTTGGTATTTTTAGTAGAGACAGGGTTTCACTATGTTGGCCAGGCTGGTCTTGAACTCCTGACCTCATGATCTGCCTGCCTTAGCTTCCCAAAGTGGTGGGATTACAGGTGTGAGCCACTGTGCCTGGCCTCTGTTGTCTTTTTTTCTACTGAGTTGTTTATCTTTTATTATTGTCCATTATTATTGATTTGTTGGCATTTGAAAATTTTTTGTTAAAATTATGTTTTGATACTAGCTTTTGTTAATGTATTACTGGTAGAGGGTCTTGACTGCAAGTTGTCCAGATTCTTGGCATTTTGAACAAAAAATTGGACAAAACGCCCAGCAAAGCAAAACAAGATTGAAGCAATGAAAGAACAAAAGCAGGGATTTGTTGAAAACGAAAGTACACTACAGTGTGGGAGCTGGCCAATACAGAATCTTCTCAGGTCCAAATACCCTCTAAAGGCTTCCCATTGGCCACTTTATGCTCACCTCATATAAATGAAGTAGTGGCCGGCAATCAGTTGCTTTCTGCAACCAGTCAGAGGCTGAAGTGGAGTTACAAAGGTCACACTCCTG